TATATTTTGTCCACATGCATTATACAAAATATTTTATTTTTGTTTTTTAAAAATTTTGTGTTGAATTATAAATAATGGTGAAATTAATTACCGTGCTCTTTTTATAGTGAAACAATAGGACCTAATCTATTAAGTTATAATACTAAAACAGACACCAGGAATGACATGTGTCATTTCCTGGTGTTGTTTTTTCCCTCCAAAATCCCCTTCCCTGTTTTTCCTCCCTTTTTTTTTAGCCAATGACATTAATTACCTACTATAATTTATACACAAAATATTAACAAAATTAAATTAACTTAGATAAAAAAAATATATACATCTAAAAGTAATAATAATAATAATAATAATAATAATAATAATAATAATAATAATTAAAGATTTTTGTGAATACGACGGGTAAAACATGTATTTCGTAATAGATTGTAGCTACTGAAGCGGAGGGTATGACAAGAAAATTTTAGATTTTTTCTCCACATGAGATAGGAAATGAATGAGCCAACTTCTCTTACATAGTTATGTGGAGCAATATTCATTTATTTTTCAATTAATAAAATGAATTTATAAAAAAATACAAATAACTTAAAATACTATTCAAATTACGTTCCTTTATTTTTGTATCGACCATTAGGAAATGAGCCCTTTATTACTAATTGAATTATATTTGTTTTTTTCCTACGGGATTAGTAATTTAATTTATAAATCGTGCATCGCACGGGCATTATGCTAGTTTATGTAAATTTACTAGTCAAATGGATGACATATCCTTTCTCTTCTCTCTTTATCCTCATACATTTTTTGGGTCATTCTTAAACCACTAATCATCTAAAGTACTTAAAAAATTCTCTCGTAATTAAGTATTTAACAATTGATCAAATATATATATAGCATAATTAATCCTTTGGATATTGAGGTTTACAAATGACTAACATCATGTGATAAAATGAGGAAAAAGTAATACTTGAAAAATGAAAACTTGGTTTATCTATTTATTTGACATTGGCAAAGAAAAGTTATTCAAGTAAACAAAACATCAGAATTGAGCAACTATATACTACTTTAGTACTTTATCATTAAAGCCTACTTATTATGAGTCATTTTTTCTTGTGATAGCAGAACAAACTTATTCCTACTTCCAAATATTGGATTATTAAAGTGGGTTTTTTTTGGAGATAACAACTTTTTATTTGTTGTTTTTAGATAAAATAAAAAAAAATCTCCCCCACTAAATCTAGTATCTAAATGTAGAGAAAAATAATAATAATAATTAAAAAAAAAAAAAAAACCCTCTAAGTCGGTACAATTATATTGCTCACATTTATGTAACCTTATATGTCACTTTATGGTTGGGTTGCATACATACTTACTATCGGCTAAATGTCACTATTTGATTAATTTGCTCACATAAGCAACATTAATATCACACTTTAACCAATTTGTCATTATATGCATGCATGGTTATGGTTTTTTTTTACTAACGATACTTATTAACTAATAAAGCATGGTTATATATCATATATATGCATGCATGGTTATGTTTATATTATTGTTAATGCACATTAAACAGATTCACACATATATACTACCTCCGTTAATTTTTTGTTCCACTCACTTATTACTATACATGCTGTTATTCTAAAAAAAAAAAAAAAAGGTTGATTGTATATAGTTTGTTACTAATATGCATGCAGCAAAAAATATAGATTATGTGATTGAAGATATAATTGATCAAACATATTTGTTGGAGACGCACAAAATTCAAGTATTTACCACAAACAAAAAAAAAAAAAAAAGTACTAGTGCAAAAGGAATATATTAATAGAAAAAAGCATAATTAAAAGGGAAGAAGTAAAATAATTACCACAATGCTAGAGAAACGAGGATGCTTGAGAAGAGTAATGGGAACTTTGGACTTACAAAGCTCAACATCAATGGTAGTTTTGCAACCCATCATTGCTAAAATATGTATATTAAAGTTTGGTTTATGAAATTGGACCGATGATGGACTTAACGGCTCTTCTTTTTCATACTCTTCCAAATTTATTATTCCTTTATTAACCTTAATTGGTTTTATCACCCCTTTTTTTCTCCTCCCAATAGCACCCTCCATAATCTTCTATTTTTTTGGGTGCAAAAAAAGGATAAGAAAAGAAAAGTGTAGAAAGTAATGGTAAGGTGCAACAAAGATTATGGCTTATTTTTATAGACTACAAACAAGTTGTGTGTTTGTGTGTATCTTTTAACTTACTAAAGCATAAGTTGTCACATGTGTAATATTGTCAGCATTTAAAAAAGGGAGGTTGGGAAAGTTTATATTTAAAGCTTTGGTTTGATAGAAGTTGTATAATTGGAAAATGACACTAATTTATTTGTTATGGTGACAAGTGTTGAGGAATATAAATAATTAAATATTGATAAAAGCATAGAAAAACTAAATAAAATATTTGGAGGTGCGGGGAATCGAACCCCGTGCCTCTCGCATGCGAAGCGAGCGCTCTACCATATGAGCTACACCCCCTATCTTGTTTCAGATTGAAATTGTTTAAAGTATTATTAAAAATTTACTGTCATTTTCACTAATTAAATGTTGTGAGCTATTCTATAACTTTTCATTCGCTGTATGATGGTTCAGTAATCCACTAGAGAGCATTAAATCTTAATAATTTCGATTTCCCAAAAAAACAAAAAAAGTTTTATTAACACTTTTCCTCGAATCCTCAATACTCTAAGGGGTCGTTTTGCTAGCATGGGGTATATGGAATGAAATGAACAAAGGGAAAGAAAGAAAATGGAATGAAAATCCCTCAAATTTTCTATGTTATTTGTTTTAAAAAACAAAGGGAATCAAGCCACCAGTTGCACCACCATACCACCACAACACAATAACCTATCTCCTTCACTTCCTACCTTTTCCAACTACCATCTAGCCACCCCACCATTCGCTGTACCTCCCCCACTACTGCCGCGCTTTGCCGCCTCTCCGATCCCCAGGCCCTCATCGCCGCCCCTCCCCTCCTCCCGCAAAACTCTCCCCTTCCCTGAAAAACATCCCACAACCCCGTAAAACCCTAGATACCTCTCCCTATCCCCGTAAAACCGTCGTGCGCCCATCCCTCCACCCTCGAAACCCTAGCGGCTAGGGTTTCGAGGGTGGAAGGATGGGCGGACGGTGGTATTACAGGGATAGGGAGGGTTTTACGAGGATGTGGAATGTTTTTGCGGGAGAGGAGAGGGGCGGCGAGGGTCGGGGCAGAGGCAGCGAAGGCCAGGTAGTGCGGTGGTTGGGTTTTCCGGTGGTGTGGGTAGGTAGGAAGGTGGTGATCTGGTGGTGCTAGGGAATGGAAATACCTAAGGGAGGTGAGGAATCAACTTGGAAGGATTTGGGGGAATGGAGAGGGTAAAGGGAATGGGAAAAAACGGCTAACAAACTGCTACAAAGGGAATCAGGGTAATTGATTCCCTTTCCCTTTGATGAATACCCCTAACCAAACGGCCCCTAAATTAATAATCACATGGAGCTCTAACAAAGTTATTGTTTGTTGCAAACTTTTCCTAAGAGGTTTTTTTCAATGATTAGATCGTTTGAATATATTCGTTATTAAATTTGAATAACGATGGAAAATGATCGAAACAATTTTGAGTGGTCAGGGACATTATGATGTGATTGAGGTCTAATTCATTTTTTCGATTTTTTAAGAATTTCGATATAATACGTTTATAGTCGTTGTACATAAATTTAATTTAGATTTGGAATTTTGATAGAGAAATCCTCATAATCCAAACAATAGATTATAGGAAATCTTTAAAATTTGGAATTTTTAGATAGAGAATAGTTGTAGTACATAAATTTAATTTAGATTTGGAAATTTGAGAGAAATCCACGTAGTCCAAACAATAAATCATAGGAAATCTTTAGAAATTGGAATTTTTAGATAGAGAACTCCTCATAGCATAGACAATTCATATTAAATCTTTAGAAATTGTTAATTTGTAGATCAAGAAATCCTCATTAAACAAGGAATATGATTGGCTTGAAGACTGAATGAATCTGTCCATATTCTGAATTAAGAAAAAACTTGCGTGGATCTGAGGTTTATACACACGCAATTATTGTTATACTATACATAGTAATCCTAATTTTAACATAGTAATCTTTATTAAAATTTGTTTGACCTTTAATATCATTGTGAACCTAAAATACGACGTTATGTTGAACATAGTGACCTTTATCTTACCAAAAAAAAAAAAAAAAAAAAAAAAAAAACATAGTGACCTTTATAATTCATGTTGAATAGTAAATACAAAATTTCTTTTTAAAAAAAATTAATCTCTTATAGCGTTTATAATGCCACAATGACTTTTATTTCTACATAATAGCCTTTATTCTAAAATAGTGGCCTTTTTTTTCTTTATTAATAAAATAATCATAATTTCTCTAATATTAGTGTGAATCAATGTGTATCTGAATTAATCACATTTTCTTAAAGCAATTCTACTCTATTTTCATCTTAATCTACTCGTAACTTAGTAGTATAGAATTTTTTAAAACCATCTCAATATTTAGGTTTCCAAATATCAAATTTTTTATAAAGTCGGAATGGATTAGAAAAAACTGAGTATTTGTAATCAAGCGGAAAATTCGACTACCCAATAAAGTATTTACAGAACCGCAATATTTGGCAAATGTGGTAGTCAACCACGATAAATATAACAATAACTTGTACAGCAGATAGATTGAGACACTTGAATAGATTGTAATTATGCGACATCCCAACCTGTGTGATAAGTAGCAATTCATATCATTATCAATCGTCCTTTTCCTAACTTTTGTCCCAGCATTTTACACCTGTATATATTTATTTATAGATGGAATTTAAACTTTAAAAGCGACTTAATTTATAATAATGACACATTTAAATCAAATGGGGCACATTCACGTACTCACACAATGTCTCAAAAGAGAAGGGGGGCGGGGGAGGATGGGGGTTAGTTAAGCTTTGACGTCGACATAAAAGAGGCACCTCACTGCATAGAATTCTGTAGAAGTTCAAGCATCAAAGATGAATACATTACACCATCAGAGCATATACACATGCTAGTAGAAATATAATTGGGTGTGACTCGTCCCTACAATGGCCTCAATCATGGATGAGAAAACCATGCTGTATATTTCCATATGAATCAAAGAATCACATTTTTGCTACAACTAGCAATTCGGGATGCACAAAGAAAATGTTTCTGCTCAGATGTCTCCGTCACTTGGACCAGGCAATAGCATCAATCTCTGACTGCGCAGTCCTATACAACTCCAACCTCTTTCCTAAGTTGGTACGCCTCTGCATAATTGCTGGATCCTCATCCAACATCTTACCCAATGCTTTTGCCTGCAGAGAGAGCAACATGAGGATGATGAGATTGCCAAGAGAAAATGCGTTTCGAGGGTTTAATTTAGTGTGGAAGGGAGGGGAGGAAGGACAAGAAGATAGGAAAAGATATCAATTGGGGCTAGAACACCAACCTCTTTCCCACCCAACTCTGTAAAGAAAACATCAAGCAAGCTGCGCTTTGCATCACGAACTTGACAATAAACAATTGATTTAGGAATGGAATTTCTCAATGTAGCACAAACCAAGTTGACATATGACAAGACAGTTGATCCTGTAGGAAAAGCAGAAATGAAAGATCGGTATTGGCAGTATGTTAGGCAGCTACCAATGTAACATTGTAAAGAATCTAAATCTTAGCTAACTGAGACGAGTACCCTTGTTGCAAGACTCAGTAAAAAATAATGGCTTTCCACAAATCATCATCTTCACAGATGAATTGCATGCATAGTTAGGAACAAAGAAAGTGTAATGCTGCTTACCAATCCGACGGAGATATGAATCATTGTAACGGTCAAAAATTGAATGTGTTGGGTTGCCACCCTTCTCAACATCTTGAGGAAGCTTCCGGAAAAAATCAACGGTGAGGTAACCACACTCCATATCAACAAGCTGCAAGGTCGCTCTCTTGCTTTCATCTCGCATCCTCTCTAATGACTCGGATGCAGCATTTGCAACTTCTACTCGTAGGGTGGGATATTGTCTTAGTTCCTACAGGTCAGAAAGAGCGTTCATTATATATTGCCTTCAGTCACAGTCCTTTTTTCTATAATAAATAGAGAATAGGACTAATTCAGATAGATAACACACGTTTTTATTAAAAATTGAAAAATAAAATCGAGGACAGATGAGACCTTGAATACTCAGTACAGATAGAACATATTCTACATTATGTCATTCCCTTACAGAACTTCATAACCATATGTAATCAAAAATTTAACACCATGAGCTTACCGCAGTTTCACTGATAGCCTTGTGAACAAGCTCCTTCAATATTCCATGAACCTGGAGAGACAAAACGCATTCTGTCAACAATAAACATGGGAAGACAGAAAAGGATTACTTTAGTTTATACCCCCTCCCCTCTCCCCGAATGAGAGTAATTGTTAAGATTAACCAGAGTTTATTTCATTTGTGGTCACATATTGAAAACACTGAACACAACAATTTAAAAAAATGGCTTAAAGACTGTACCATAACAGAAAGTGAATAAAACTCCCTCCACTCAACTGTTATAGACTAAAATTGAGTTTCTTGCATCTCTGTTTGCTATTTCAATTATTACACCAAGAACAACAGATAAAATACATTACAAAAAAAAAAAAAAAAAAAAAACCCATACTCCTATACCTAAATTACATAGACGCACACTAACTCCTACAAAAAAAATCCAGCTGCATGAAAAACTAGTGTTTTCAAGAAAACCCCGGTCAACCCAGAAGTATTCTATTTATATAATAATATCAAGGACATACCGCATCAACTGCAGCCTCAGCAGGACCTCTAATTGAACCCAAACAAGATTCAATCAGTCGCCGATAACCTTGTTCGGGAGCAATAAGATGAGGTTGATACCCATCAGCTTCTGTGATTAATTTCCTCACATTCTCCATGGAAAGTTGCTTGTCAAATTGCAACCTTTTCAAAGCAGCAGGAAGCTGATTATCAAACACGCCATAGATTCTGTCACCACCTGGGCGTCTGAAAAACCACAGCAAATGCAGCTTAAAGACATTGGTGGAGAAAAGAAGGATAAAATGAATGACAAGCCAAACTGAAATCTATCTATCTAACGAGATACCAATCATTCAGTTGAACAAGTTAAATGTAACATACACCCCATCAAGATGTTCTTTAAATATCTGGTCAAATCCTCGACATATTTCCATGATCATGTATAACTTGCCCTGCAAGAAGCACAAGATAGTAGAAATAATCATCAATAAACAACTTTGACCCCTTATTTATTAGGTATGCCATCCAACAAACTCAAAACCCAGGTAAGAGCATCTCAGGATTAGAATAGAGTAACCTAGTCCTAGAAAGCCGGAAACAGACAGATTTGCACATACAGGTGCTCCATATCTATAAAAAAAAGTTTCTTTCCAGCATCAGGAAAGTCTATTGTCTAGATGGAGTCAACATGCTACACAAGTCCCCTTTGTCCTGAGAAAATTCCCAGTCATGAATGCACCAATAAATGTTAGGAGTATTCCTACTAGTAGTAGAGAAGGTAGTGCAGCAAGCAAAGAGAATCTAAAGACCCATTTTCCAGTCACACTCTACACTGACTTTTGGTGTGCATGTGTGCGTGTATGGGTGGGGGAGGGGTCAATATGATAACATTCATTTTATTGCATTAAGTTTGAACACTAAAGAAACATAATAAAATAAATAAGAATGCATTTATCTGTCTTATACATCAACTACTCACATTAGTATGATGTGTGCATGATATATCGACACTTTATTTATCCAAATCTTTGACAATATTGAACATAAATTTTCGTCACGTTGAATGGAGTACATGAAAGAAAGCCAAAGAATATGAGGCTTTAAAATACTTACTCCAGCATCAGTAGCAACAGGCTTCCCAAGACGGCTCAACTCTGATTCTAGTTCAACAATAGTTTTGTTGATAAGAGACTGAAGGCCAGGAATCCGGGATTTGATGACAGTTTCTAAATGCTGGAAGATTTGGAAATTTTCAGATTAGGTACAACAGTGGATAATAATGAAAATTAAAAGGTAACATCCATGAAATATCAACATACCTTGGACATCATCTTAGCTAAGAACTCTGAACCCATTCTATGAGCAAGATGCTTATACTCTGGGCTACTGGACCAGAATTCTCGCTCTTTACGTCGAGCAACAATCATATCAACATTTTTATTGATATCAGCCTGTGATCGATTTACAACACCCACCCATGGATACTGCAACTTGTATGATTTGCCTTCCAAAATCTAGAAAATCAAGGATATTGAGTAAGGAATAAGAATGCAGGCTTCAAGTCTCCAATTATTTGTCTTCCTTAAGGAAATATTATTAGTTTAGTGCCTTTATTAAACTCTATTCCAAAAAAAGAACCATTAAAAAAAACCTTAAGACTAAACTGTCAGCCTAACATAGAAAGTACTTACATCAACCGCATCAGTTCCTTTGTCCATAAGATCAACCTTCGTCAAAACTCCAAAAGTTCTCTCTCCTAACATATGAGAACACAGTATCAACAAGATAAAATGTTAATTAGTATACCATTTTTGTAGATAAAGATGTTCAGCTCCAAAAAATTACCAAAATGTCAACTGCTGCCCACACAACTTGTGAAACTTGCAGTTGCAGACTTCTAGTAACCACTACCACCAACCCTCAAGTAACAAAACAAAAAACTTTTACCCAAGGACCAATACTAAGAAATTAGTTCCTGGACAGGGCAACAATTGTTTCCTCCACTACCCAAAACTTCTCAACAAAATCCTTATATACTACATTGGCTTCAAAATCCGTATATAGAAATCAGGCAAGCAGAGCTAACAATATGCTTCACAATATATTCTGAAACCACATTAGATGGACAAAGAACAGAAATATCTTACCTTTGGGATCCACTTCACGAGAAATTTTAATTGCGTCAGAAGTAGCAAGATCTTGATTAGCGGGAGAAATTGCCAAAATGATACAATTGGGCTGCAACAAAGACAATGTATCAGATATTTTGATTAAACTCACAATAAATAGGGAATGAAGAAACACCCAGTGACTTTTTTTTTGGGAGGGGGGTTGAGGGAGAGGCAACTTATAAACACATTAATCAACAGATTGTGCAGCTTCTTTTTATATTACCTTCTCAATATAGGAGCGAACCATATTTTCAATATCTTGAACAATGCTTTCAGGTTGGCCATCTGCATCAATGAAACAACAAAAATATATACAAAGCTCATCATCATATAATTAGCAACAAGACGATCTAAATAAGGATAAGTGCTTCAATGAGGACAACTCACCAATAGCCACTTTGGTAAGTCCGGGAAGATCAATCAACGTAAGATTAACAACTGCATAAGCCAAATTGTAATTAGTACAAACTGCCTTCAACAGGAAGTTCAAATAGGTAACTATTAGAAATTATAACATAAATTAATCAACAATATCCAACAAGACGAGAAATGAAGCCCTCAGATATTATCAACGTCAGCACAATAATTATTTTAAAGCCAAAAACAAAAGAGAACAATAACACTAATTAAATTGGCAACTACTAAGGCAAAGATAGCATTTAGCAAAACTGGACCAAGACTAGCCTGTCTGTGAACCAGGACATCCAAATTTAAAACTAGTGACTAGTTCGGCCCAGTTGATTATCCTTATTCCTTATTTTCACAGTCAATTACATTGAACATGATTGCTCAGATCAGTCCAAAAAAGCCCAAAATCGAGGAGAACATGTAGGTTCATTAATATCCAAACCTTTTTAGAAAAAGGGTAAACAGAAAAATGGTGCTCTCAAGTTTCAACTTTCAAGGATTCAACCAAGCCACCTAAAAACATTTCGTCATAATGGTTGTGTTTACTGCATGAGCTTCTAAACTTATACGTACAACTAAGCAAAGTAGTAGACTAACAAATTTTTCCTACACTTACGTTATGAAATTGCTCCATGATTTAAAATGCATTCCTACTAGTGTTATTATTACCTTCATCTCAAAGAAATAAAAATAAGATAAGGTGCAATTCTATCTTCATATGCTTAATAAAACCTGCTTCCCAATTATCTCAAATTATTAGAGAATACCTTGCTTGTTATCACCGTTACTAATTTTGATTGTATAACCAATGTGGCTTCGTCACTAATTTTGATTGTTATCATCGTTTATGGAAATTTCTTTTGATAAACTAGCAGATTTATTAAAAGTCAACTTTTAATGGGCATACCATAAAGAGTATACATGCAAAATAAAATATTTAAACATAAAATAAGGTTATTCATGCAAACAAAAAATTGTCAGGCATTTAAAAAAATAAAAATAAATCTTCTTGCACACGATTAACCTTACACGTGTAATTACTCCTTTATGTGAAGGCAAAAGGACATTCAAGCCGCATAAAAAAAATCAAAAACATATATGTCTTACCATTGGGGGAGTATATACTTAGATGAATAGGAACACTAGAGATTGCTTTACTACGTCCAGTCTCTCTATCAGTCTCATCTGCTATCTCCTTCCGCACAGCAGCTGAAGAGGCAATATCCAAGGTTTACATTGAAACTTTAAATAGAAAAGATACCATGAACAAAAAAAAAATTAGAATCAGATTAGTGACAGTCTATGAAAAAATAACATACCAAAATCCGTGATTCGTTTCCTTGGAAGGTGCATAAATTCTGCCCATTCTCTATTTTCTTCAACCCTGTGTAACTGTAGAACAAGAGGACGCCTAGTAACAATACCTGCATAAAATATTAGCATTAATTACAGCCAAACAAATTAAAATATGGAATAGTTAAGGAATATTAATTACAAAAGAACCAAAGTATCCAGAAAAAAATCTTTACCAGATCCACGAGGCAAAAAGTCCTTGCCAACAATGCTTTCCAAAACTGACGACTTCCCCGAACTCTACAGATCATCAAAACATCCCAAGGGTAAGAACATACTGTACGATATGAAGAAGAGCAAGACAGTATGCTAAATTTCGACCTATGTGCATCACTCTCCGTCCATCACACTAATTCACCACCACTCTTAAAGCTACTTATTCTTGGAATCAACAATATAAACATACTTCCTCCGTTCTTTTTTACTTGACCTGCTTTGACTTTTACACTATTCACCACCCCTCTTTTGACCGTCTTTTGTAAATAATATGTATGGAAAAACATATTCATGTGAGATCTTTTTGAATTCGTCTCAACAAGTAATATCATAATATATAATTTTTACTTATGGAAAATTAAAGTTATTGATCGTTAAAGATTTCCATTGGCAAGCGTAATAAAAGAAATAGGTCAAGTAAAAAAGAACAGAGGAAGTACAATCTAAGCATACAATTCTCATACTATCCACATTTCTCTTCCATTAATTCCATAAAATCAAGCCCTATATCGAGCATCATCTCCAACCAGAGTGATATACACAAAGCACAGTCAAGAGAATCACTAAGTGATTATCAAGAAGTAAACAGCTCTTAAGATATAAACTTTACCAACAAGCTAAACTTTTGAAGCATCCAAAGTAGAATATTCCCAGTATTTTCGACCTTACATGATCACCATTCTCTTCATTTTGGTTTGTCAACAGTTTGATCACCCTAATCTATGTATTTAAATCGGAAAACGCAACGAACGGCTCTGCTGTAGTGAAAAACCACAATGATTCATAAAATACAAACTATTCTAATTGCATTTCTTTCAAAAAAAAACACTTCTTATACTTGGGGAATTTCATCCATAAAAGGTACACAGAGAAAATTTCTGTAAAAATGTTGAACCGCCAAGTGTCGGTGATGGATAAGAATCAATGCCATAGCTAAAACACTAAATCTATAAAAATAGCATCAAACCAAATCACAAATCAATCAAAAAGCCAACATCCTAGCATAATTCGAACACCGTGAGCTACTCCAAACTACAAATCGAACAAAATTCAAATAAAAAAAATAAAATAAAAAAAAAAAAATCGATCTCTAACAATCAAAGATTCAAAAAAAGATAACCCTAATTACCAAAAGCAAATCAAAAGTAGGATCTGAGAAGAATCGAAGATCTGAGAAATACCTGACCTCCGACGACAGCGATGGCGGGAAGAGAATCCCAAAGAGTAGGAAGAGCGCTTTCATCACCATGATCGCCGAGAGCAGTACAAGCTCTCTGAATCTTGTTAACGAGAGAAATCAAGTTCTCCATTACTGTAAATCAAAGCACCGATTAAGATCGATGTAAGATTGAATTTTAGGGTTAGGGTTTTTCGAAAATTGAGAGATCTGGGGATTTTTGAATTTGAATGGGAAAATGGGGAGAAAAGAAGAAATGAAGGAAGATGCGGAGAAAGATTAGAAGAGAAGAGAGTTAATAAAAATGAAAAAAAAAAAAAGAAATGCTAAACTAAAATAGAAAAAATAGAAGGTGTTGTAAAAAATGTTGAAGTAAGATTGCGTTGGTTTGGCTGTTATTTTTTATTTTTGGTTTGTTTTTACTTTTTTGTGTAAGAATGTTGGAACGGCTATATTTTGTGTGTTTAGGAACGTTTGTGAAAAGAATGTTTGGATCATGTGAATTGGTGTTCATGGGCCCATAAATTTGAATCTTGGCACAACCTTCATCTTTTTAGGGAAAGCTGTTCCTTTTTGTGATTCAAATTGGTTAGAATCTTTATTGGCCGAGTAATGACCCGATTTATTAAATCTAATCTACTACCTTCGTTTTTTTTATGTGCAACTTTTGTCATTTTAGTCAATTCACTATTATGTGCAACTTTCTAATTTCTTTCTATTTTTAGTAAACAAAAACCCTGAAAATTACAAATTTACCCTTACTTAAAAATTCAGATTTTCCTAATGTTACCCTTATCTTATTTTAATCACAATAACTTTTTTATCTAATCTAAAATCATTAACCTAAATTTACCCACCCATTTACTCATCTACCCACCACCCATTCACCCTCTTCATCTTCTTCTTTCTTCTTTCTCTCTCCTCCATCTTCTTCTTCTTCTTCTTCTTTCTCTCTCCTCCAAAAATGTCAGGATATACCCACCAATTCACTCCCAAACACCCCAATTTCTCACATTCACCCAATTCATCACAATTCAGCAACTAACACTACTTCCCATTATAAGCCACTTCTTCCACCACCCTCTCACCGGAAAAACAAACCCCACAAACTCCAGTTTCCAGAACATTCTTCCGCCATGGGAGGACCTTCAAGGTGTACAGCTTCAACGCTCGACAACGAAATTCGCTGCTGAAAAATGGGATCTACACTTCCGATTTGTTTTGTTTTTCGTTTTTGTTTCATGTTTTTATTGTTGATTATTGTAGATCTACAATTTTTATTGTTAATTTTCCGTTTTGTAAGCTTACTTTATTTTTTGTATTGTAAATTTTCCGTTTTATTGTTAATTTTTATTGTTGATTATTGTATTTCTATTTTTAATTTTCCGTTTTATTGTTAATTTTCTACGTAGATCTACAATTTTTTTACTTTCGAAATTTCTGGGTTTTTTTTGGGATTTTGTTCGATTTTTTTCGGTTAGGGTTAGTGTGGTGAGTTGGTTACGGTGGGGTGACTGTGTGGGTGGAGCTACCGGATTTTTGGGTGGTCTGGGGTGGTCTGGGAGTGGGTCTGGGTTGGAGGTGGTCGGGGCTGGTGGTGGAGGGGAATGTTAGATTTCTGGGTTTTTGGGTTAGGGAGGGGGCAGCCAGAAAAAGGAGGGAAATACGTGAGGATTTTGGTAGTTTCGTGGGGTTGGTTGTGGTGGTGGTTTCGTGGGGGTGGTAGTGGTGGTGAAGGCGGCGGCGGTGGTGGCTGGTTTTGGTGGTGGAAGTGGGTGGTTTGATTAATTATCCAAATATTCTCTCTCCACCTTAATTACATATTCCTATAATATATTAATCACCATTATACTTTCTTAAACTTTACCCTTCAATCTTTTGCTTCGTGAACCGCAATATGGCTCAAAGTTGCACATAAAAAAAACGGAGGTAGTAATTATTATTATTATATAAATAAAGTAGACATTTTTTAAGAGTATTTGGAGCGCGACTAATAAGAAGAAAGATTTGTATTTTATTTTTGAATTAAAAAATTATATCGCCACCTAGATAAAAGTAACGAATTAGATTTGATGTATCTAAAATTTTAATGCCACGTAGATTATAATCCATTGATTAAATTATTTTAATGAAAAAAAATAAAGTAAAAATATAGGAAAAGATAAATTTATTAATTCAATACTACGAGTATAAGAAATCCAAAAAAAATATACTAAAAATATTTAAATGATAAACGCTTATAATAAAGTTTGATACTTACCATTATAAGATAAATTTTGATAGTATTTATGATAAGAAATACAAATTGTTCGTTAATTATAATTAAATTAAAATCTGTGATACCTATCATTATAAATTGACACATCATACGACACAAACAAAATTTCGTATCAATAAAAAACCCCATCAAGCGAATTTTGTGTTAGTAATTTTGTGCTAATTTTGGTTATCAATGGCCGGGTAATTTTTAGCTTAATTTTTAAAATCTTATGTTTAAATTAGTATTTCTAATTATTACTTACATTGTATTAATTTGGAATACTCAACGATTATATGTTTATGTTTTATTTACTAAAGTTTTTTTACATGCAAATCTAATACATCATATGACACAAATAAAATTTCGTATCAATACAAAACTCCATCAAGCGAATTTTGTGTTAGTTTTAGGTCATCAATGTCCGGGTAATTTTTAAAATCTTATGTTTAAATTTATATTTGTAATTATTAGTTACACTGTATTTATTTAGGATACTTAACGATTATTTGTTGAATGTTTTCCCTAAATAATGTTGGGAAATTCTCTAATTCCCAAAATACATCCAATTTTTTTTTAATTCCCAATCTACCGTCCACATCACCGGTTCAGTGAAAATTATTTTTAAAACCGGTTTATTAGAAAACCGCTACTTGAAGTAGCGGTTTACTGATTAAAAACAGCAACTTCAAGTAGCGGTTTCCTTATTATATTTTTCTCTCTCCTCTTCCCTCTTCTCTATGAAAACCGTCTTCTTCTTTTCTCTCTCCTCTCCTCTCCTCTTTCCTCTTCTCTCTGAACTCCTATTCTCTCTAAACTCCTCTCCTCTTTCCTTCTCTCTCCTCCCTCTTTCTCTCTCCTCCGCCATTCTCATTCTTTCTATTCTCCTTCTCACTTCTCCTCTATTCTCCTTCTCACACTTACAACAAAACCCACGCCGCTGTGTAACCACCACTACACAACCTACGCTCCTTGGTTATTCAGGTCAAATTCGACCATGAAACCTCTAGATCTAGAGGTTTCATGATCGAATTTAGCCGTATTAAACCAAATTCGATGAGAAATTAACATCCAATTTCGGTGTTAAGGTATGTTTTCTTGATTTTCATTTTCTTTCTCTTTTTTTTGTTTTTTGTTTGTTAATTTTTGGGTTGTAAGGTTTTCGGCAGGTGGTGGTTTTGATTTTTTTTTGGTTAATTTTTGGGTGGTTATTTGGTTATGGTTGTAGATTTGGGTTTGGTTTGGGTGTGTTTGGGTGGTAGATGTGGATTTGGGTGGGTTAAGGTGGGTGTACTGGGTTCGGTTAGGGTGGGGGTACTGGGTTGTGGTGGTGGTGGTCAAGGTAGATGGTTTTCTGTTTTTTAGATTTTCTGTTTATTTTTTTTTTTAATTTTATATTGTGGGTGGTGGTCAAGGTAGACAGGGTGGGTGCGTACGGTGTTACGTGGGGTGATGGTGGGTGGAGCAGGGGTAAGTTGTGGCGGTCACTTTCCCCTTCTCCTTACTGATATTTTTTTTAAATTTTTTTTACAGCAAAACCGCTACTTGAAGTAGCGGTGTTCTTGTGTAAACCGCTACTTCAAGTAGCGGTGTATGAAATTGAAACCGCTACTTCAAGTAGCGATTTGTTGCTAGACCGATAAAAAAAATCCGGGTTTTTTCCCTAAGCTGACGTGAACGGTATAGTGGGAATTAAAAAAAGAGTGGCTGTATTTTGGGAATTAAAGAATTTTTCAACATTATTTAGCGAAAGCATCCTTATTTGTTTATGTAATGGCATACTAAATGGATGGCTTTGGTTATTATTGGAGATGATGAAAAAATTCCAATGCATAGATTTGATTTTATATCGCAACAATTTTTCATTTATTGGTAAATATATTGATTTATTTTATATAAATGTAAAGATTTAATTGATATTTTGGCTAACATTTTTATCCATTGATGTAGTAGGTTGGTTGTGGACGAAGTTGGTGTATCCATCGAAATAAAAGATATGGTAAAACAATGAATAATGATTTAGGATTTAAATTATTAAAATTTATCATTTCACATTAAAAATTTTATATAACGGAAAAATATATCATATTTACAATTTATTTATATTTAATAAATTCATTATAAATTATAGTAAAAAAAAATATTAAACTTTTGTAATTTTGTCTGAAATTATTAAATACAATAAATCAAATAATTAAAAATCTTAGATGAAAAAACCGTGCGATTGTCTTCCATCTAGTTGATGATATAATGGGAAAATTTTTGCTAGTGTGTACACGTGAATTTTGTTCTCTTTGAGATAAAATTGTATTATAGGTTAGTATGATAAATTAAACAATAAATACACGCTATCGTTGAGTTTTGTTTCCCTTGAGATAAAAGTGTATTATAGGATAGTATGATAAGTCCTTGTAAAAAAAAAAAAAAATTACAAAAATAAAAATTAAACAACAAATATGCTTTGTATGAGATTTTCTTTAATTTTCAAATAAAGGATTATAGGTTCAACTCTTTGTTTACACAATAGAGTCGAGTATGATTTTTATGTGATGGTTGGAAGAAAGTTTGGAAATGAGGAGATTTGTAAATGCAATTATGAAATGACTATTAGTTTACAACTGAATTCTCGTGGATTCTCATATATTCCTACAACATTATCCTAATATTCTCATTGCTTTTCTACACAACTCAACCACCTAAAATTTGCCAAAAACAAATGCAATTAGATTACACAATATGTTAGTCAAATAAGCTAATAGAAAAATCTATTTTGTAATAGGTAATTGCTTTTCAAATATGGCCAAAAACTAAAATAAGACTATTACACCTACAAATATCTTGATATGGTCGAGAGACTAATTATTAAGTGTACATTGAGTATTTTTTTTTTTTTTAAATATGTATACATAAAAATTGTGACAATGATATGCCACATTTAAGGCGATATATTCATTAAACCTATTTATGACAATTATATACGAAGTAAGTATCAAGATTCGAGTTTTTATTTAAAGCGTATTCTGAATTGATTTTTGACACAACTGATTCCATAGTCCTCATTTCATTATGTAACTTATACAAACTCCAAAGAGTCAATTCTATCATTGAGACCTTATTCCGTTCACTTGTGATGACACTTGATTGAATCGTGTTAAACTTATTATGGGGGCATGTTACTATTTTTGATAGCATTACGCCATTACCCACATGTTACCATATTTGATATCATCACCGACATGCTATTATATTGAATTACCAATCAAACTGAAAGTAAGCTACTTGAGATAAACAAATTTTAAACTACACTCGTACTCTAATCAAAGTACACTTGGTCACCAATAATGTTAATTTGGAGTTCATTTATACAGTCAGATTTAATTCGACTGAATACCTACAACGTATATTATAAATTGAAAAATATGCTTATTTAAAACTCGTGAGTTGGATAAGTGAAGCCCACCATTCGCTTTGGGCCTGTACCAGCAAGGCAACAATTTTGCCAACTTACTTGCAACTATTACAAGGCCTTCTCTTCCAAAAATGTATTGAAAAATTGGCCTTTCCACATGTTTCCAAAAGACTCCAATTCAATCTCAATCTAAGATTTGAGAAACGTGAAAAGTTTTTGGTGTAATCTAGCATATTCCTATAATTTTTTTGGTGCAAAAAATGATCCCATGTTACACAAAACATACAAAAGTCTTAATAATTGCCCCTTTTATGGCTCAAGTTTCTCAAATCCTAAGCTTTTACAAACAAACAAATACCTTTAATTTCAGCTACCAATTAGCTCAATTCTTCTCCTCACACTTGTTCTGTTTTTTTCCTCCCTCTCAATACCTCTCGTTTTCAGTTCTTTCTCGATGAACTCTGAAACTAAGTGAAACCCAGAAAATAAGATAAAAGATTGAAGCTTTTTTTTGCAGTTTTTTTCTCATGAAATCTACTGCAATTAAACCCTCTTTACCCTCATCTTTTAATCAAAAGCTTTTTAATCCCAAAAACAACCCATATCAAAGAGCAATATCACTGTTTTCTTCATCAATTTTCAGGGCAAAACCCCAAAAAAGAGCAATTTGTATTTCATGTAAACTTCCAATTAATGACCCTCCTCATAATAGCTTCAATCATTCAACACCCTTAAACCCCTTTTCATTATTAGTTCCAATTTTACAAAGTATAAAGAATTTCACAGCAAAAATTAACTGGGTTTCATACTTAAAAGATCCAGCAATTGATGAAATTAATAAATTTAACAACAAAAAGACACAATTTTTGCACAATGGAGGAGTTGGGATGGCTCTATTAACCGTGCAATCGACGGCTAGGGACAGATTCAGCCCATTTGTCGCGACACTAGCCGCGAATCCAACGTTTGTTAGTGGATTATTGGCATGGTTTTTGGCACAATCTACAAAGGTATTGCTGAATTTTTATGTGGAAAGAAGATGGAATATGAGGATGTTTTGTGCTTCAGGTGGAATGCCGTCTTCTCACTCTGCTTTGTGTACTGCTATGACTACTTCTGTTGCGCTTTGTCATGGTGTTGCTGATGCTTTATTTCCAGTTTGTTTGGGGTTTAGTCTTATTGTTATGTATGATGCTACTGGAGTTAGGAGACATGCTGGTATGCAAGCTCAGGTAATATGTCAAAACTAAAACATTATCCATTTGGTTTATTGTAGACTTGTAGTACTAGTGGTAGACTCGTAGTTAATATGTTCCGGGGCTATTAATTTATCATACACGTGACTGTACCTGGAAATAAATAGGTGCGTTTACAACGAAAGGTATAAATCATCGTTGTAGTAGTATGTCATCAAATCTACATCCTATGACATAAATCTTGGTTTGCTATATAGTATTAGTCATGGACTCGTAGTTAATAACCTTTGAGATAAATTGATCATACACACGTGTGTACCTAGAAATAAATAGGTGCGTTCGCAACCAAATGTACATCAACACTGTAGAGCACTAGAGCTATGTCGTTAATTCCTGTTTGTCCTGTCTCCTGTGTAGGACTGTTAAAGTTTTAAGCTGTTATACCTCGTTCTTGAATTAGTTGTCAAATTGCTCTAATCTCCCAAGGGCATGATCATTAGATTCAACTTTTTCCCATTTCATGATAGGAATATGACAGTACATATCTTGAGTATCATTGAATTTTCATAATGAAGGAATATGATATCCTATACCAAACTTGCATTTATATATTTTCTTTCTCATCGTACTCGTATTGTTATTGAATGTACTAGTAATGAGTACAAAGTATTTCTAAACAGTGTAATGGACCACTGGTGTGCATAAATTGTACTCTCACTTATTTTTCTTAGCTCTTTGCTTTAAACTGTTTTCGTCATCCCCTACTTCAGTTTATTAGAGGCTTCATATTATATTCATGGCTCTTCAATGACATACACCAATTCCTTTATACAAAAAATGATCACATTATTAACATCATACTGGTAATGGGATGACATATACCAATTCCTTTAGTAATGGAGCGCATATGTTTCTCTGCACTTCTATGCTCATGTGAGGCTAACTCTCAAGTTAAGAAAAATTCAGTTGCCTTAGAACTTTAGAAGCCTTAACGGGGATTTGAGGCCAAATGCTTTGATTTAAACTGATGGATTGGTTGTTTATGATGCATCTAGTTAACCTTTTATGGTGTGTATGGCAAACCCAACTGAAAGTGATAGATTAACTGAAAGGTGGTTATAAGCTGAAAATGATGTACTCGTATTTAATATGCATGTGATTTGCTCTTTCTCAAGTCTTCAAATTCGAATTGCAGTTTAAGTTTCTAATGATACATTTCCTCTGTCAAAATTCTTGACCTATTTTGATACTGCGTAGTTTTATATTGTTTGGCACCTCAGTTAACCTATGCCAAATTACTTATATATTGGTTCTCTATGGGATTCGTTCAACTAGGTTCTGAACAAGATCATTGAGGATTTATTCCAAGGGCATCCCATCAGCGAAAGGAAGCTCAAAGAACTTCTTGGCCATACTCCATCCCAGGTCTTTGCTGGAGCTCTTCTAGGAATTGCAGTGGCTTGTTTTTGTTGCCAGGGTTATTTGGTTCCGATATGATTTACTTAAGTTGCTTCTGAATGAAATCTTCTTTGGTATAAATGTCCGGTTGCTAATGTTAAACGAGTCTTGGGATACAACTAATCACTTCACAGTGATAAAATAATAAGTACTGAAGGAGGTCTGAAGATGCTATGGATTCATTAGAACATTTGTATTAGTATACATTTTTTTTAAAAGTAGATCATCTCAATATAATTGTTGAGATGATGCTGCTGGTGTAATTTGATTGGTATTGTAATTTGAAAAATAATGATCAAATGAATGAGCTGCAACGTTTGTTGCTTGTTTTTCACACCAGACTTTTACCCAAATCCATTAATTTTCTGGCCAAACAGCTTTGTTAGTTTGTTACCATATGAGGCCATTACGTTGTTGCTTGGTTTAAAGTATTTTTATTTTTATTTCCTATTTAGAGTCGTAGGTAAGCTTGTTTTCTTTGATATGTTTGAGTTTCAATAAAGCTACGCGTTTTAGGTATATTTTGGGTTTATTATTGTTTTTAAGTCTCACACATGAGATTAATATTCTCATTACAGTTTGGGTCTCCTCCAATTCATAGTTTGATTGAAGTGATTTTTCTCACTAATCTTACATAAATTGATTCTCTAATGAGGGGATTCATGCCACTACATATATTATAAAAGAAAATGTATAATTTGATACAATCGAAAAAGTACCTCACACATTAATTTTAAGTTTAAGGTAGATAAGATAAAATGTCTTATCGGATCGATACCTCACAGTTCAACTCAATCGAGTTTATGAGCTAGACATTTTAAGAATAGGACTATAAGACTCCATACTCCGTATTGGTTACCTAAGCTGTGTATGTGTATGTGTATAAGCGGGTGGGCGTGCATGCGGATATATGAAAAATGGATAACAGTAATAACACAACCTTACAGGTCATGCACCTGTCAAGTAATCAAGTGTTTTCTTGCAATAAACGCTCTCGACTTCTCAAATTGCCCTTCATACAAATCTAGATTTTCAAGTGACAACTAGCTGAAAGTCAACTTTTTCAGCTGCCAACATTTTTTTTTTCCGTCGGTCTCTATTAAAGTTCGTGTGAATAATCATATTTGGGGCAATTTAGCCGTCTCCTCACTCCTTTTTGTTTTCTCTACATTTTATAACTTCGCATTTTTTTTTATTGAGCAGCTGTTTAATTTTTGTGTTCATAATTTTTCTTATGAGTGTTGGGTTTTATTCAGAAGATCGTTGTTGGTTTAAATTAAAAAATTAAAAATGGGTTGTGGGAATTCAAAAGATGAAATGAAATTGTCTTCGTCTGATAATTTCTCCCTCCTTGCGGCAGATACTATTTGTGAGTTTTCGATCTTTTTCTCTTTCAATTTATTAATTTGTAATTTTTGTTATGCTTTTTTTTGGTGGGAATTTTGTTTATGATTTTAATTGAATGTTTTATGAAAATATCAGATATGTCAAATGAATGTGTATGAGATTTGATATTACTTTGAATGCTTGAACTTTGTAACCATAATTTGGTTTGGATGATAAAATAAAATGAGATGGATATCTCTAGCCAAGACTTCCATTGTGCAACCGGTTGTACGATGTGCACGGTACAATCTAAGGTTATTACTCGTATTTGGCGTATTTACTCATTTGGAGTAATCTCAAATTATCAAATAAACCATGAAATAGCATTGGTTTGTACAATACTTAAGTGGAGCCTTTTGTACTTACCATCATCAATGAAACATTTTTATTTAATTTTTTTTAACCTCATTATTTTCTATGTTTAAACAAACAACTAATCCCGCTACTCGTATGAAGGTGTGTGAGTGTGGCTGTATATTTTATTTTATTTTATTTTTTTCTTTTTTTGTTAAAGCTATACCAAAATTACCTAACTGTTATTGATTGTTTTGTGTTGCAGTTACTGAGGAAGAAGTGGATCTTTTATATGATTTATTCAATAAACTAAGCAACTCTGTTGTCAAAGATGGTTTTATTCAAAAGGTATATAATATTCTTGATGTATAAGTGATAATCTGTTTTATATGGTAGCAAATGAAGAGTTGTTATGCATTATATTATTGCTATATCTAAGTTATTATTGTTTCTTTATTCTAATACAATTATCAATTATAATGATCAGGAGGAACTTCAACTTGCATTATTTAAGAATAGTATGAAGAGAAGCCTTTTTCTGGACAGAGTATGTGTTTCCTTTTAGTTGTTAGATGCTGATGTCCCATATTTCATGCAAGAATTTCTGATCTAAGTATGTGTTCACTTGTTCTTTTTCCTTCGGTTTGCATAATACTGAAGTATTTTTTACCTTACAAGACAAGTTGAGCAGTATTTATTAAGTATGAAGTATTACTTTAGGATTCAGAAAACTGGACAACCTTGTAGCAATTTGAACTGTGGGAATATCAGTGTGTGATCTGATTCATTCACTGATTGCTAGGTGTCACGTTTCGTTTTGGCAGTCAGGCTGATATGGTGGATTTTATTACTATCTAGGGCCTTGTATATGCTGACAAATTACTGATTCACTACTGCTTTTGTTATATGCACTTCCCGGTTTTACTGACTAAAACTGTATCCCGGCTTTTTGCCCCAGCCTTACTAACTCGGTTGTATATTTGCAGATTTTTGATCTCTTTGATGTCAACCACAATGGCTGCATTGAGTTTGGAGAGTTTGTTCGATCATTGAGTGTCTTTCACCCTAGAACTCCTGACAAAGATAAAGTGAAGTGTAAGCTATTCCTCAACTTACATTTAGGTCCCAACTTCCTAGATAGCTCAATAACTTGTTTTGCCAATTGTTTCCCTGCTAACGTAGGGCTTTCTGGCAGATGCGTTTCGGTTGTATGACCTAAGAGGTACTGGCTATATTGAACGTGAAGAAGTAAGTATATAATTCACTTCTATATATCTCCTAAATACCATGTACTATTCATGCATGATGCATCAAATGTACATTGCCCTACCCTTGTGGTATCTGAGTGGTGGTATCCATTTCTCTTAGCACAAAGAATTAAAGTCATAACACTGTTAATCTTCCAGCACGCATGAAAGCCCATGACCAATACACCTGATGACTCAAAGCTACAATGTGAGCACATGAATTCTTATTAGCTGCAGAACACTGTGAAAACATCAGAACGATTATGTGGCTTGTGAATTGTGAGGAAATGACTCATCAGCATGTCAACATGAACAAGAAACGGAATATGGTCTAGTCAGATGTGTAATTTAGGCTGTTTTAACTTGTTTGAATTGTAACTAAAAATTTCCTGAGAAAGGGTCTGTATGTTGCAGTGTTCATTCATATATATAGCAGTCTAAAGTAATGGTTAAGAGTATATATTTAGGTATGAGTGAAGCTTATTTTGTTTATCAAGGTTTGTCCAAACTCCAAAGTTAATTGTTTTGTTTTAGTAGTAGTAAAATAATGCTCTCGATGCAGTGATTTTTCCTCGGCGATGATTTACAATAGAGCAAAAGTGCAGAGTAGTAATTTTAGACTTTCATTTGTACAGTTGAAAGAAATGGTGGTGGCCCTTCTGCATGAATCAGACTTGCATCTCTCAAGTGATATCGTTGAAACCATTGTTGACACGGTATGTACTTAAAAATTGGAATTGCGTTCTTGTTATTTTTCAATCTATGAATTTTGATTGAGTTGGGCAAATACGGCTGCTTTCTGTGTTAGCAGACATTCAAAGAAACAGATTTAAAAGGTGACGGGAAAATTGACATGGAAGAGTGGGAAGAATATGTAGCAAAAAATCCCAAACTGCTCACTAACATGACTCTTCCCTATCTAATGTGAGTAACTACTATAGAATTTGGTTTGACTTGCTCTTCAAATTTCAATATCTTTTTTAGCAACTGTAATTTGTCAGTATTTCTGCACATTTTATAAACTATTTTTGTGCTGTCAGGGATGTTAACCTTGCTTTTCCGAGCTTTGTGGTGAACAAAGAAGCTGAATGCTTACAGAGAAAGGGACCGGAGGAATAGACACAAGTTTTTTGTTTTGACATGAACTTTGACAGTATCCCAAAGATACATGAAGCTGCGTGTTTAGCTAGATTAGATGTACTGGTAAGATAGCCGTCGTGACTGTATGAGTAATGGTGTTTGCACAGGACTGATGGGTAGCAGATGATGTGCATACTGCACTGATGCTTTATACTCCAGGCCATAACATGAACATACTGCTTCAATGTAAACGGAACTTCTGTATCATAACATTCACAAGATTTCGCAGTAATTAAGTTATCTGAGTATTTTCAAATCTTGACAGCACAAATGAATGATCACAAATTCAGTCATCATTCGGTCTTATTGTACATTTGTACTTCTGTAGTTTTGGATATTTGTATCTCATATTGCATATCCTGAAATGAATTAATGAGATTTGAGGCCCTGATCATTGAATGCTTCGTATCTTGAGTTTTTTTAGCAAGGCGAGTTCACTGCTGTACAACCTAATATGCTGATATCTGGCTGATACCATACGTTTCCTTATAAAACTAAAATACACCATTCTTCATTTCTGCAGCTAGTCTTTTATAAACTAAGTAAACTTGACTATACTATACAGACATAGATATGCTCTACCCGACTGTGACGTACACGTTCATCGCCTCGTGTACTGCAGGCTGTACGATATATAAGATATACCCAATTATGTGGTAGCGAAAACTTTGCCTAAGGCAACTTGTTAGAAGGGAGTTCTGTCATTTGTTAAGTACCTAAAATTGACGTTGAAAGCTTGAAATGTTTATTAGCGAAGGCATAGTCAATGAAATGATATTTGACATTTGGGCTGATGTACCAAGTTGGATTTCTTCATTTCTTGAGATCTGACTTAGATATTTTTTGTCCATTTCTTTGGTGTGCTACAAGTCTTCAACAAACGACACAACGTGCAATTATCCCATAATCTTCGGGGAAGGACATTTCTTAATTATTTTTTAAGTAAAGATGATATTTTCTCTTTTGATTATTGTTCAACTACACTACAATTGTACTGCCTTTTATTTGACTATAGATTTTCTATTTTTCTTGGCTATGATACATGTTCAGCTTTCCCATGAAGATACTTAGTACTTGTATGTGATACTTAGTACACAAATTTAATTCAACTCTATTATATAAATTTAGAGTTGATATTAATTCATCCCAAAAAAAAAAAAAAATCTTCTCTATAATATTGCATATCTTATACGTGGTTTGGAGTAATAGACGAACTAATTAAAGAGTTACTCCATACATAAATATTGTAGATGTTCATTTCCGACTAGCAATAAACTACAAAGAGAATCGACCCAATTCAAAAGACTTCATACCAAACATGACCCAACTCAAATGAATTGGGCACAACTCAAGCCAAACAATCAATTAGCCACTTGTGCTAAACTTAAAACCTAACGCCCGTTTACTCACTAATTATCTTAATCAAGTACGTGTACAATACAAAAGTATAATATCCTTTTCTTAAAAAATCCAAATTAATTACTCGTACTTTTAAGTTAAATAATTAAAAAATAATCCGTATTAAAAGACGGTTGAATTAATTACAGAAAATCTTACCTTTCCAGCATTTCTTATGGCCCAAGACAAAAATAAATGCAAATCCTCCTTTATTTAATTTTTCTTTAATAAAAATACAAAAAATGCAAAACAACCAAAAAAAAAACTCACCGTTGCCAATAAAATGCCGTGGCTCCACTAGCTTTAACCAATCAGAGCTTCCCATTAACGTGTCATCCCACAGTTTTCCCAAAAACAACCACTCATAGAATAATTTAAATTATTATTTTTTAATAAAAAAAGTGTCAACGTTACGAATATTAGTTAGCTACGACTACGCGTATATATCATCCTCCTCATCACTGACGTATCCTCCTACCCGTTGCATTTTCCCCATTTTCTACTTTTCTTCTTTTTCGCAATTTCTTCGAATAATTCCTCTTTTTCATCGAAACTTCATCGTGTATTTTGGGATTCCTTCCTCTTTCGTTGATTGATTGATTGATTTGATCTTCCTGGTTTTCAAATTTTCAATTTCTCGACTCTGATTTCCCGATTTAGGGTTCTTAAAAGAACCTAGTTTGACTTGATTTCTGTTGTACTGATGCTGGTTCTTTGATTCATTTGGGGGCTTTTGTAAGTGTGATTCTCTCCGTTTTCTTTTTTTTTTGTATCTATGTTCTTATAACACTGTAGATGCGAAAATTTGTTGGGGTTATGAATCTATAGTGTTTATTTATTTTTGAATAGGTTTCTGTATATATATAGTTTAGATTCTTGAAAGTTTAGTTCCTTTTGTAAGGAAAAATGTCGTCGGCTGGGATTGCGGTTAGTAGAATTAGGGCGGATGATCCTGTGATTTCACCGCGATTTTTCCACTATACTTTTGATTTGAATTTGGATGAATCTATAATGGTTTTCTTGAGTGTTTCTGGGAATATGATACCTTTGCGTGTGTTTGAATCGGACTCGATTGAGTCTGTGAAAATGAAGATTCAAAGCTTCAAAGGGTTTGTTGCCAAATCCCAGAAATTGGTTTGTGGAGGGAGGGAATTATCTCGTAGTAATTCGTTGGTTCGCGACTATGGAGTTGCTAATGGCAATGTTCTTCACTTAGTGCTTAGGCTTTCTGACCTTCAGACTGTTAAGGTTAAGACAGAATCCGGGAAGGAGTGGACTTTCGATGTCGGGCGATACCGGGACGTTGGGTATGTTAAGAAGCAGATAGCTAGGAGGGCGAAAGGATTAGTTGAAGAGGATGATCAGGAGATTGTTTATGAAGGAGAGCCACTTAAGGATCAGCAATTAGTTGATGACATTTGCAAGCAAAATGATGCTGTAATTCATTTGCTTGTAAGGAAGTCTGCTAAGATTAGGGCGAAACGTGTTGCCAAGAACATTGATGAGCTTTCTGTGGAAGCAACGGGGTTGGGTAAGAGGCGAGCTTATGAGGTTAAGCCGGTTGATTCGGTATTGGCATCGAGTTACCTCCGTGAAAAAGACTTTGTTTTCGAGCCCGTGGTTGTCAATCCGAAAGCTGAAATACCATCAGCGATATTGGATGTTATGGAGATGACTTATGAGGGATTAAATAGTGGGAATACTCCAATCAGGTCAGCTGAAGGTTCTGGAGGGGTTTACCTTATGCAGGATTCGACTGGGTTAGAGTATGTATCTGTGTTCAAGCCTGTTGATGAGGAGCCTAAGGCAAGGAACAACCCCCATGGTATACCTGGGACCCTTGATGGTGAAGGGTTGAAAAGGGGTACTAAAGTTGGGAAAGGGGCGTTTAGGGAGGTAGCGGCTTACCTGTTGGATCATCCATTGAATGGGAGACGCGATTTCTCTGGAGAAGCAATGGGTTTTGCTGGGGTTCCTCCTACGGGTTTGGTGAAATGCTTGCATAGTGGATTCAATAACCCTGATGGCTTAACTCCTAAGATGGGATCCTTACAGAAATTCATTAAGAATGATGGAAGCTGTGAGGATATCGGTCCTGGTTCATTTCCTGTGGGAGAGGTGCACAAAATTTCCGTGCTTGACATAAGGCTGGCTAATGCAGACAGGCATGCTGGGAATATATTGTATAGCAAGGACAAGGAGACTGGTCAGACTGTCCTGATTCCCATCGATCACGGATACTGCTTGCCGGATTATGTAAGTGCAATCGCATTCTTCCTGTTAACACTTTATTTAGTACTATGTTTTAAATATGTGTTAGCTTCATTGCTTACTGTCATGGATGGTGCTTGATAGGGAATTTAAATGGTTTAGCTCAATGGACTAAGTTTTATTGATTGCTTGCACTTATAGTATAGTTGTGTTGGAGCTTTATTATCCCTGAAAATTTCCCTTCAAAAAAAAAAAAAAAATCCCTGAAAATTTGAAGTATCTTCTAGGCATTCATTTTGTTTGAAGTTTAATAGGGTTTGATTTATAGAAAGCAAATTGATTGACTATGAGTTCTGGCTTTGTGTTTTCTCTCGGATGCTTGGATGATTGTTGTCCAGATATGGCAGATATAAAGTCTCCTTGATTTGGAAGCTGATAATCATGTTTAGTTTAAGGATATTGGTGCCTTGCCAATGTGGCTAAAATTTGATCTGCTTGAAAGATGCATTGGCTGGAGCTTCGAATTTGGTCATAACTGCTTGAGTTTTAGCAGATGATTTATCATATCATTTGGTTGCAACTTTTAAACAGAGGTTTTGAATTGAAACAGGCTAGTTTTCTCATGTATGAACTCTGTTTTATGTATTACGGTCAGGGATTCTTCAGACTATTTGCTTGTTATCTGAGTTTTTTTTTGTGTTATTAGGATTTCTATCATTCCCAGCATATCTTCTGTAGGACAAAATTATATCTAATATCAAATTTATTTGGGACTATTACAGTTTGAAGACTGCACATTTGAATGGCTCTACTGGCCACAAGCTAAGCAACCATTCTCTGCTGAGACTGTTGAGTATATTAAGTCTTTGGATGCCGAGGAAGACATTGCTCTCCTCAAGTATTATGGATGGGATCTACCCATTGACAGTGCCCGCACTCTTCGCATCTCTACCATGTTGTTGAAGAAAGGGGTGGAGCTTGGGTTAACTCCATATGAAATTGGAAGCATCATGTGCCGGGTGAACATTAACAGGGAGTCTGTGCTTGAGGAAATTGTCCAAGAAGCACTGGATTCAGCACTCCCCTGCACAAGTGAAGCAGGTTTCCTCGAAACTGTGTCCGACATCATGGATCGTCGCCTTGACGAGATTTCGGGGTAGTTGATAGTGGTATATACATGTGCATAATGTTAGGTACATAAAAAGTATGCACAGATTTAATAATAGGGGTTGATAGATAGCTTTTCTTTTCTAGGCTTCCCTCAGTTGAAGTACATTCTTTAATTCTCATCGAGTCAGTTCTGATTTCGCCGAAGCTTGGAAACCTCTCAGCTAGTTTGGATGAAGGTTTTCATGCTAGGGGGTAATCTTTATCCTGTTCAGTGTTTTCCACACCATTTCTATCAGATTGTATTTCATCTCATACATCTAGTTGTATTTAGATGAATCTAACAAGAATTGTGTATGAGTTTGTATCTTTGGGTGTTTGGCTTGTGTGTACTCTCAGGTGGGAGTATTGCGTACTCGTTGGCAAAAATCTTGTCGCGATTTCCGACATCAATTATTGTGTACTAGCAAGGTGAATGAAGGCTAGTCTTGTATTTGCAGTAGATGGGTCCATATTTTGACAAAGTTGTTCGGGTATTGGTCATATCTAGCAACAAAGATACGTAGTATTTGAAATGCAAGAATTCGAACGAAATCAGAAGAGGATGAATCAGTATGAATCACTATTGATATAAAATAAGAGTTAGAGAACAGTGAATTTAGTCTTTAAAATCCTTAATTTGCTCTGATTTGTGCCATACTTTTGGGTTACTCAAAGGCTTGTCTCTCTCCCTAACAATGCAAGGGACGTATCAGATGTAATAAGATTATTTATGCTTGTAATTGCTGGTCTTTTGTGAATCACGTATTGTCAGTTTGTCACTATTGATATGATCTAGTCGCTCAACATTTCACATGAAACTGTAATTCGTGAAAGATAAGGTGGGCAGGAAAGGATGACTAGATGTTTGTTGGAAGGCAGCTATGTACATATCTCTATCACTTCTCTATGCTACGTGCCTACGTCTTTCCCAATTCTTCGATTTCTCCCTCCTCCAAGCTAGTTTTGTTTTGGTGGTAACTGGTAAAGGGTCAGGCCTATGAATTCAGTTAGGCCCTTCGACTAGGAGCAATAAGGTTGAGCATGAAAAACTCAAAAAGATGAACATTAACTCGACTAGATATTCATTGGATTTGATTTCGAATAGCTTGAAATATGGACTTGCATACTTGAACATGAATGGACTTCATTCAAACCAAGCTAGAACAAAGACATTATTGCAAGTTTGCAACCTTTATTTGAACAAGTTGAAGTCACAATCTTCACAAATGATCAAAGTGACTAGCCCACAAGGCCACTATTGAAGTTCAATTAAAATCAACCTACTATTCCAAAATAAAAAAGTTTTCCTAAACAAAAATAGTAAAGGGAAAAGTAACATGGACATGTTTTCCAATTTCCATCAAGCAAATAGCGAGATGCCACGTGTACACCACATTCATCATCCTCATCATTCACCATGTGGGCTCCATTTCTGACTCTAGCTACCTTGTTGTTAGCACTTAGCAAAAAACAAAGACACTAGTTTTAGCCAAAGAAATCACAAACTCCAACTTCAATTTCCTCACTCTTTCTCCCCACTTTTCTCTCCCACTCTCACTTTCCCCCCACAAATGTGCCCCCCACCATCTCAACCTCGGCAACTTCCACAACAACCACGCCAACCTCCACCTCCTCTGCCACGCCAACCACCCCAACAACCACGGCAGCCACCACAACAGCCACCATCACCACGGCAACCTCCACAACAATCACCTTCGCCACGACAACTACCCCAACAGCAACCGAAGCCCGCAGCTGAACTACGCCAACCACCACCACCACCACAATACCAACCACCACCTCAACAGCCACCACCATACCAACCACCGCCGCAACATCCACCACAATACCCACAACCGCCGCCGCAACAGCCTCCATCATACCAAGAACCACCACCACCGTACCCTTACCCCTACCACCACCACTCTAGACCAAAAAAATCAAGCTCAACCTTAGCATCCTGCTTTTTAGCAACTTCTTTCTTGATCCTCATTACAATCGCAGCTGTAATAACTTGCTTCATTCTCTTCCGCCCACAAAACCCACAAATCTCAGTTCACACCATGAAATTCCCATCCTTTACTCTCGTCAATGGCACTGCCAACTTCACCTTCTTCCAATACGTGGCGGTTCGGAACCCAAACCGCTACTCCTTCTCTCACTACGACAGCTCCCTGCAGCTTTTCTCCTCCTCTGCAGGACCCCTTGGATTCATGTACATCCCTGCAGGAAGTATAGCTGCTGGCAGAACTCAGTTCATGTCTGCTACATTTGATGTCAAGTCATTCCAGCTCCCGGCCAATGTCGGAAACGCAGGAGCCGGGCCTGTTCCTGGTTCTGGGCCGATAATGGAGCTGGAGACGAGGATGAAGTTGGTGGGCAGTGTCAAAGTGTTGAAGGTGTTTGCACATCATGTGGAAAAAGGAGCTAAGTGTAGGGTTTCTATTCAGGTTTCAGATGGGTCTGTTCTTGGCTATAATTGCTGATCGATCTCAATTCCGTACCAATCTTTCTCCTTATTATCGGCTTTTTCTTTCCGAATTCAAGATTACTAGCAAGTGTAAAAAAGAAGGAATTTTGTGTGTTGTAATTCTAGGATGATGATTCAGTTTTTGTCTAGGAGATCAGCAAATTATGATGTACTGTAGGTTTTTTTTTTGTTTTTTTTTTCCCTTTCTGTTGGGGAACTAAGTTCTGCAATGAATGTGTTGTAAAATATGAAATTTTTAATGAGTTTATGTAGTTAATATGCAACAAGATTTGATTGGAATTTTCAAGCTCATATAATTGACAATGATTGCAAATTTGCAAGTTTATCTATACAAATAAGGAAAGAATATCCTCACATCATACAAGGGCAATACGTGAGCTGATTAATTTGGTGGGCAATCTGCATCCAAGCTGTTGTTTGAGACATTATATTGTCTCCTGGTTGGCAGACTTCAATCTAATGCTTCTCGCTCTCATCATAAGCACCTGGTCGTTTACAGGTCGAACCAAGTAGTTGTAGTGAGACTGGTCTTGTATTTTTGCGCCGGATGATTCTTTAGAACAACTGATGATGGTGTTATTCTGGAGGACTTTTACTTTACAAATTATAATGTATCTTCGATTCTCCATATTTAATTCAGAATGCTGACCCTGAAAATTTAAAAAGAAGGAAAAGAAAAAGAAAAAGTAAAAGGAAAGAGAGGTAAGTAAAGCCGAAAAGGAAATGCAATTGTGACAGTAGTACTGGAAGGAACTGAATATTCAAGCTGATGATACCTGATTTAGAAATAATTAGCTGATGTCATTTAATACAAACTTTTGAAAGGCTAGTGTTCATTTTTTGCTAGGTTTCTTCCGAGCTCGCTTCTTTCTTTTTCTGGATCATCAAGTTGTTCAGTTAAATGAAATTGCAGCATGTAATTAGACAATTCAAGGAAATTTCAGGAATTTTCATAGTTGATCACCATACGAGCTGATAAAAGGAAATGTGAATGTTACCTCTTGGTGGGTGGACTAACGCCTAAGACACCCTTCATCAGCGAGCTTATGTCAACAGAGCGCTCTCGCATGATCTTATCATGGTACATTTTGCTTCCAATCTCAACAATCAATTCCTCGACCTCTTCGAGATGCTGATCCACATTGAGCTTTATTTCCCCTTTCCTAATTACAGTGACACCAAAGCCATTTTCTTTGGCTTGCCGAAAAACATCCTGTGAAGATAGCAAAATTGACTACAAGTATTAAAATAAAGCTAATATAACAAATGCACTAATACCCCACCCCTCTAAACACACACAGGTCAAACACACCATCAAAATGCTTATCCCTCCAACCCTAAGTTCCCAATGCACACAGATATACGACCTTAAGAGAGGTTGAAATACAAAAAAGCACCTGCAAAAGGGGTAAAGAAGACTTGAGGAAGAGATAAGAAACACCAAGACAATTACCTTTGGAGGTTGTGGAATAATGAATGCTTTTCCCTTGCCAAGCATCTCCAAATGAGCTTGAATTATATAGCAAAAATTCTTGCAATCACTAGGGTCTTCAAAGGCAATTACATGACGCGGCTTTGGTTCGAGCTCAAGATCCACACCCATTTCTAATGAGTAAAACCCAACCCTTTGGTCTTCACCTTCATAAGTATACATTTCAATGCACTGCAAGCAGCAAAATAATTGATTTCTCAGTGGGGGTAAGCATACAGACTGTATGATTCCAGAGCACTTCTTTAAACATCAGCAAATAACAAATGTAATAAAACAAAGAATCATAAATATCATCATAGACAATAGCAAGGAATGTTTTAGATCCCAAAATTTATGGGCGTGTAACGACTCCTTGAGAAACCAATGTTCTGATAAAGGCAAAGCAGGAGTAATTTTTACAGGAAAAAAAAAAAAAGAGATTAAAGCTGTGTACCAGCAAATGAGGAAGATCTAGCCACCACAAGTAATCTTCTTCCTTCTCTTCAGCATATTCACGATACTTGCTTACTACAGCTTGTGGTCCAAACATTTCCATTTCTCTCCTTAGTTTGCTTAATTTTTTCTCTATGATCTCCTTGCCTTTCTGAGGAATTTTATCCATCAAATCAGCTGCATCTTGAATTTCTTCCTTAGTAATCCATCTATCCAAATCCTTCCCTATATCCTTCATGACAGATTTCACTTCTGGATCAGTTTCTGCATTATAGGATTCTACAAATCCACGAGACCATTTCTTTGTGTGCTTCCAATACTCTTTCCCAGACTTTTTGCCAGGTTTAACTGAGCCATCACTCGCCTCAATTACAGTCTTTGAAACTTTAGCACCTTTTTCGCTGGGTAATGACTTTGAGGGAGAAGCTTTCTGGGAAGCCTCAACACTACCCATGTGTTTAGATTCATTTTCCGTTTGAAGAGATGATGTCACCTGCTGTTGACTTCTGCTATTATTCAGAAAGTCAGAAATTGTATCCAGTGGTGGACCTTTCCATTTAGGTATAACCTTTTCCGGTGGATCATATAAGCTGATACCATCTGCAAAAATTGTGAGAATGTGAGCATGTCAAAATGTGATTATTTGACCTAACTTTTATGTGAAAATAAACCCAAGCTTGAATCATATCATTGAGTAAATAGACTACTGATAAAAGCTACTAGAATAGAAATAGTATTAGTAAAGCTGTGGAAGAGGCTCCATGATAAATTGATAGCTAGGTTGAAGAATATAGTACCTGCTCCATAGTCAATATTTTCAATGTTTGAATGTAGCCAATCATGCAGAGCTGCTAGCTTCTGATTCTCCTTTTCAACTTTACTTTCTAGGCCAGCATAAAACGCAACTTTATCTTCAGGATCCATAGAATGGAAGGGATCCCGTCCAGCCAACTCATTTTCTCGAACTTTGAAAACAATCTCTTTCAGTTTATCATCCTGCATCCACTCTAGTTCTGTGTCATCTGTAATAGACCCAAGTGTCATTAGGTCCAATTTTGTATCCTCCTGGTTATTTTTCTCTCTAGCAACATTGTAATTTTCCCTGAATCCACTGCCTATTTTCTTCACAATGGGCTCAACTTCATGAAAATTCTTCTCTAACCAGTTCTCTTTATCAGCAAACAAAGCTTCCTCCCTGTCATCTACTGATTCTAAACCACTTCCGGAACCTGGAAACGTTTCAGCAGTCTCATGATTCTTCCTGTAATCATTTTCATTGTTTATCCCACCTGGTTGAAATTCTTTTTTCACAGAACCAGAACTAGAACCATTTAGATCATTTCCAACACCAGCAAGGACAATTATCTCACTCAGTTTAGAAGTGTTCTGTGTTTCATTGACTTCATTAAGATCGAAATTACCATTGTCATTAGACAGACACACCTTTTTCTGCAGATTGGCATCATAAAGGGCACTTTTATGAAGAACACCTGCTGCATCTGTAAATTTACTACCATTATGAGATGCATTTTGGCCAGAAGCAGGGTCTGAAATTTTACTTAAATCAGTAGGCTTAGGCATTACACCTGTTTCTACTTTTTCCAAACTTTGTTCAGTTAAGAGGGGCTTATCATCACAAATATCATTTTCACCAGGCATAAGGTCTAATCTTCCACATGAATCACTAACAGTGTCAGCACCTGAGATTTTAACACTTGGTGGATCAGAAGCTTTGTTCTGATTCAATATACTTTCTGTCTCTAGCTTTAATCCATCAATATCAGTTGCAAAAACTTCATTTTCTTTTGCAGTGTCACACAAAACTTTTGGAACTGGGATGGGATCCAATTTCTTGTCTGCATCAAAAGACTTCAATGTCTCGCCATCCTCTTCCAGCCTCTTGCTGAAACTATTGTCCATTCCCTCGTCTTTAGAAGCAGCTGTGGTAGGAATATCACTAACTTCAGATCTTTTATCATTTTTCTGCAAGAGATATTCCCTAGCTTCTTTTACCGAGCGTATGATTTTTGGCATCCTTCTTGCAGGTGTTTTTTTTGGTGGGTGAAGTTGGCTCCTAGAATTGAAAGACTGAATCCCTTCAGTTACGTTTGATAAATCAGAAATACCATGGCTCTGAAAAGGACTACTTAAATGGCTTTTTGTGTCACCTATAATCCTTCCGTTTGAATTACTATGAGGCTCCACATCCTCAATACCCTCATAAACATCTTCACTGTTGGATTTAGAATCATTGCTCTGCATTTCTTGGGTGCCTAATATTTCCATCCCTGGAATGCCATTGATCATACTTATTTCGGAATTTTTTTTACTTAAAAGGTTATTCCTGTCACCAACAGCATGTTCTTCAAGAGCGTCTTCACCTATGGATGGCAGTACATTTGAAGCTTGTATCTCTGATTCATCAGTCCAGATTGAATCCTCAGGTACTTCAATATTGTCTCTCTCCACCAAGTGCTCCTTATTTGGTAATTGTTCATCCAATTCACCCCCCTTGCTTGCAGAGCCTTCTCCGCTCTCAATCTCCCGCGCATGTCTTGCCATCATCTGTATCTCCTGAATCCTAACATCCACATCAACGGAAGCCGTCTTTGGAGCACCACTAACATCTAGGGCAACCAGACCGTTATTCAACCCTTTTGCCTCCCTAATTCTATTCAACACCTCATCCTTGTCAAGACGAGGCCTTTCAGTGAGCACACTAGGCTTGTCTGCTGGCCTTTCCATGACTTCAACACTACCCTTCTTCACCTTCTCTTTCCCCATTCTCGACTTCATTTTTCTCCTCAACATTTCCTTCTCAAAACTCGAAATCTCCTCCTCCTTTCCTCCCAAAGTAAACAACCTTTTGATCATCCAAACGAAGACAAAGCCACAAACCACAGCAATCCCAACCCTCGAAACCTTTGTTATCGACTTTGGTTGGACAATTACACTCCTAATTCTACTAACAAAACCTGATTCTTCACCAGAAACTACAAATTTAGCAACAGAACTATTCCTTGGGATTACATTCTTCCCACCCTCTACTTCTTTAGCTAAAAGTTTAGCATGTGAAATCTTTGAGTTCACTTCATCAAAATCTTCTAACTCACTTTCCTTCCTAAAATACAATGGTTCTACTCCACTCCTCTTCAAAATCTCATCTTCATCAACCATAACTCGCTCAACTTTACCATTACAATCTTGAAAAACAGTGAAAATTGGACTAGACCCAATTCCCCAAAACTCAATATCTTTCTTATACTGATCAAGCCAACCCTCCAATTTATTCCACAAAACAGATTCCCCAAATTCCCTAGAATTCCCCAAATTACTAATTTCAGAATCAATAGTTCTTTCCAATCTATCACTACTTAAATTTAAATCAGAAACTTGATTATCAACTAAATTATGAGCTGGGTCAATAATTTTTTGAGGGTTTTGACGCACCTGTGAATTGCCACCATCATCACCAGTGAGCTTCTTCCTCAGAGAGTTCCTGCGCTTCGTGGGTCGACCAAAACGAGCAGAAATGTGAGATTTTTTGGTGTTTTGGAGTGGTAAATTAGTCGAAAATGGTGAGTTTGGGAAAGATTTGAGATGGGTTTTGCGGAATTTATAAGGGGTTTTCTTCGTGAGAGTTGTGAGTGAAGATGAAGGAGAGAGAAATGAGATTGAGGAAGAAAACTGGGGTTTGGATAGAAATGAAGAAGTAAGAATCTCCATTGAAAGAGAAGCTGAAGATTACATGGATAGACAGAGAGAAAGAGAGATAGTTGAAGAGAGGAATTTGGCTTAAACCTTGGCTTAAGTCCTACTGTAGAATGTTAAAAGAAAGGCAAATTGAGTCGCAAATTGTTATGGTTCATTGTAAGGTACTATGGGACTCAGTCCCACATTGGTCTTAGGGAGGGTTAATGTTGGTGTTTAGGCAAGACAATGCGTTGTCTTTTTGTTGGGCTTGCTTTGGGGGATGGTTTTCTTGTTGTCCAATATAACGAAGGTGACAGTCGGAATTGCAGTGTTCGCCCGGGGCTAGGGGTTCCTGCCTAGCGCAAAGCCTATGGTGGAAGAGGTGACGCCGGCATTGCAGTGTTCGCCTGGGGCTAGGCAGCCTAGCTAGCGCAAAGCCTTGTTGGTGCTTATATTGGACAATGAGCTCTCCTCCCTTTGAGCTAGCCTTTTGCATTACAATAAGAGGAATTATCAAAATATTTCATTTTTGGAAGGGTTTTATGACTTTTGAAATTAAGAGTATACATTGGACATGAAGTTTTCAAGCTTAATTCTCCAAATTCAGTAGTGCTATATTCATTAAGTTATTAATCAACAATTTGTGTTTAATTACAGAGTATACAAGAATTGTCTTCCAGGAACTTGTTTTCCTTGAATCGATAACGATAGTAATAATAATCAAAAATGAAAATAAATTGTATCAGAAAAAGTAGTAACGGAAATGAATAGCTTGGCTGAAAAGACAGCATAATCATGGACATCCAAATAAAACAAGCTATAAGAACCTCATTTATGCAAAGCAAGAAGTTAGTTGGCGAGTCAGGCACAATCTTGGAAGCAGGAAGCTCTTGACAACATGATCCAACAAGTCACAAAGTGCAAGACAGACACAGTAAAATTATTAGCCATTTTCAATGGCGAAAGTGAATTGGTTAAAACAATCTTGCAAATCGGCTACATCTAGCATGCACTCATTCCACATCAGTAATTGTACAGCGCGTCTATATACTTGGTTAACCAAATTACAATCCTGAAGAGAAGAGTAGATAGGAGGGGTCAGCAGGCAAGAGAGAAACCAACTATTAGCTGCACAGATTGGGAATGCAGGCTCCACCATCAGGGTTCTGCTGCTCCTTCCATATGCGCCCAGTGACCCGCAACTTCAGTTCCTTGCGGTCTCCTCCAGAGAAGAAAAGTGCCATGTTTCTTTGTATTATAAGACCATCGTGGCTGTCCCTAACTTTTCTGTGGCTGTCTCTAACACTTCTAGGGGTTCCCTCCCAAGTGAGTTTGCGGCCATAGCCCCCAACTTCAAGGCTGTAGCTATAATTTCTAGCTTCCATCTCATCCCCCATGAACCGAAGAAAAGCCATATAAACAGGAGCCATGCCAAGTTGAAATGCTTCGAAATGGAGGCAGAAATACTGACCAAAACAGTGGAACACCTAGGAAAGGGAAGAGGGAAATATGTTATTTACATTGTAGTCCAAGCAATACCTATGAAAAGCTTATATGCATTTAAGGTGTGCCCTAAGTTCTCAATCTGGTTTTAAGAAATCAAACCAAAAGCAAAATCCGCCATTAATATTTAGTGGGATGAGAGAGAGGGGTGGGAGAAGGTCATGGTGTTATGTTGACTATTGATAATGGTGATGCTGATGGATACGTCAATATATACATGCTGATGGATACGTCAATATATACATGCTGACGGTGGCTAAATTAACTTACAGTTAGCATCCATGTAGCATTTTCCACCTCGCGCGGATTAGACTTCACATAACGATGATTGAATGTACATCCAGAATGCATGTCAACCTTGTGATCATCCCTCAAATGAGCCACCAGATAAGGTATATCCCCAGTAACAGAGCACTCTGATCCAGCATATGGACAATTGTATGGCCTGAAGTTACATATGGTTTCATGTTTAACTTTGCTGTAGTAGGGAAATATCTCCGGGCAACCAAGTGAAAAATATTTGCAAGGAAGCTCTAGCGATTCAGCAACTTTTTCCAATGCTAGACATCTTATATCCCCAAGTTCTTGCCGACAGGTTGGGCATCGATTTTGTACACGTGTTTTACAGGTGGAACAAAGTGTATGCCCATTTCGGCACTGTAGAAGTCATAATGTTAAAATTTTCATAATCAATATCCTCACATGATAATTTTTCAGAAGAAAAACAATTATAACAAAGGCAAACACAGCAAACCTCCCTAACAATATTAGAATAAGAAGCAATGGGGTAATTGTTACAGTAATATAGTGTTTCTCAAACAGCTATATCAGCAAGGAGGGGGAGGGGGAGGGGGAGGGGGCAAACACATATGGAGAATAGCAAGTGAAGAAATGGATGTGTCATTTATTCCCTTGTGACAGGGTGGTGTGGAGGAAAAATGGACAAAGATTCCCATGAGATTAAGAGTATAATGCCATTTTCTAACACGACAAACCTACAACCACAGATCTCAAGTGTCCAACTTCCCAGTTCCAACTCTACTTGATGAATTAGGACCACGATTAAGGCCAAATGAGATTGATAAACCTATAGAAAAGCCTAGGGCATGTTCTACATACAAGACCACTTAAAAGTTAAAACCCAGAGAGTATAGCTTTGTAATTGTCCTACAAATTCAGATCATGAACAGTATGATTAAACAATCGACAGTTTCATCCAGATGCCCAGATTTTGACCAAGTTGGTGACATATTACACACACATCCATACTCCAGAACTGCACAATTGCAAGAACTGATTCCAATGGAAGTGAGCCTAGAGTAGCAGCTCATTATGTCTTTCGGGAAACCTTTACAGTACTAGTAAAGCACTACTGCAATAGTGCTTCTATAAGAGTGCATCTTGATCAACTAAATCATTTCATTGTCAATTCCTATACCATGATTTTGTGGATTTGTTTCCGGGTATTCCTGGCAGTTTGCAGCATGGGTGTCTATATACTCAACCATTTTCACTAAAAGCTGGTGGATCTAAAACCTTCTGCAGAAAAAAACTCTCAGAACATCACAAGTACCATTCAGGTCCTTCTATACCAACTCGTCTCCATCCTTTAGCCTCCCCTCTCTGGGACAAACTAGGCATTATGTAATCTTTTATAGAAAGCTACCACCTCAGATAAATCATCTTGGACAAGAGCAAGTAGCAACTATACACAACAAGACTTTTCTCTATTCTTACCACCTTTTTTCTTCATATAATAGTACCACAAATTCTTTAAATGTCCCAAGATTACCTTCCCAAAATGCCACTTAAAAGCCAATAATCCAAAGTCTTAAGTCTAGATCATGCTAATTTTTGCCATAATTTACACTGCACCAGGCACCAAAAATAGAAAGCAGTATTATAAGAAATATTATGATACAACTATATATTACTGTTCCAAGGATCTAGAGAGCAGCTTAACTCTAGGCTACAACCAGTTAATGCCAGAGATAGAATTTTTCAGGAAAATTAATACTTGTTTATAATAAGGCCCAATTCATTTCCTATAATACTTAGGTTCAAAATTCAAGTAAAAGAACATTAAAAAGTACCAACATTTTAGCAATTTCCCTAATATAATCAGAAAAACTAAATAATCCAACAAAAAATGTTATTAATTCTAATATTATTAATTCCAATAATTAGATCCTCCAGAGTACATAGGGCCAAAACCCTACAAATCAATACCTAAAAATTTAGGTCAAATTCAACACCCCCAACAAAATTCACACAGTTCTACCAAACAACCGACAAACCTTACAAAATCAAACAAACCCAGATAGAAAAACTCATGGAAAAAAATGGACAAAAAATCCCAAAAATTAATAAATCAAGGAGAAAGAATAAAAGGAAAACCTGGTGAATTGGAGGGTACATAGAATTGGTACAAACAGGACATTCAAGAAGCTCATGAACACTGGTAGCAGGGTGAATGTTGGGATTAAGGACACCATTGTTGATGATGTGAGGAGCTTTTGAAGATGAAAATTGGTGATGAGGTTGATGATGATGATGATGATGATGTTGCTGTATTATTTCATCTTCATCCATATCTATGGAAGATACACACTCTATGCTATCAATATCCATTTTTAATTTTCAGAAAACACCACCAAATTTGCCCAGATCACAACCCCACTTGCAAAAAAATCTGAAAAATCAGAAAATTGAATTTCTGGGTTTATATATAATTGGGTTTGTGATGATATACACACTCTCTCACCCTCCCTCCTAAGCTCCAATGGTAGTCAGGAGTAGTTCAAAGTTTGGGAAAGAAAGAGAAAGAGAAAGAGAGAGAGAGAAAAAGGGAATCCCAAAATCCCTCATTTTGCTAAAACAACCATCCTTCCTTCCATATCCCCAGGTGCTTTTTCTTTATGGGCTTCTTTGGCCCATTTCTTTGCCTTCTTACAATTTTTTTTTCTGTTCGTCTTTATTTAAATTGTTTCCATTTGACTTACTATATTACTACCCGTTTTATATTACAATACGTGCAATACCCCCTTTGTCCCATAATACATAACATAGTCAAACATTGCACATATGCTAATGCATGTCTTTATGTTTATATAATTAAATATTAATGAAAATTATTTTTAAAATTATATTATGAAACTTTATATTAAAACCTATCTAACAACATATGATAAAATATATTTTTATTATGTTAGTAAAAAATTATGGTCAAACCTAATGCATGAATAGTGAAAAAAAAGTTCAATGTCTCATATATTATGAGACGGATGGAGTATTTAATAAACGGATGCTACATATTATGTGCAACAAATGTTTTATTTCCTTTTTAAAATTGTCATTTCTCTATCTTTCTCCTCACTGCATGCATCTATATCTTTCTCGCTATTTAATACTCACAAATAAATTTTTCCTAAAAGTCCGTGTCAAAACCTTTGCTACACATAATACAGAGTATGAAACAAAGGTAGTATTTTGAAAATGTCGTATTTTGATAAGTACTTTGTTTTGTTTTTTTTTTTTGAAACATGAAGTGCTTGTTTAGTTAACCATAAAAATACAAAACGGAGGAAATTGAAATTTTTATGAGATTCCCACATAATGTGGGAATTAACTTACCCACCTCCTCCTTTGTAATTCAAAATCCCTAGAAATAGTAATTTTCCAAAAACAAACCAAATAAACTAAAGCTATTTTTTAGGAATTAGATGAGGAAACTAATTTTCCATAAATTGTAAATTATCATGGGAAGTTAATTCCCATTGTAACCAAAGAAGGACTTAGTATTCAGTATGTATTGTGGTAATGCATGATATATATTCATTGCAAAAGAAAAACTAAATTGGATTTTTCCAAAGAAATTCTTTTAAAAAAATTATAAGAAAAATTAGTGGTATAGATAGTTATTAAATTATAATAAATGGACTACATAAATAAAAAAATAAAAATAAAAAAAAAAGGAGATTTTAGATGGTTGTTAATGGCTCATAAATACTACGGAGTATATTAGATAAATAAAATGAGGGATTATTAATATCATTTTCAATAGTTTTTAATTAGTGTTGATTATTGATCAGTAGTTGAAGTTTTATATCAGTAAAACCCTAAGAGTTACCAAAAAACATGCAACCTATTATTCATTATATCAGACATTGTATTATTTTGTTTGAACTTATATTAACTAACATAGTGTGTAAGATATTGCATAATATATATATATATATATATATATATATATATATATAATTAATCAAAAGCTTTTAACTTTAAGATGTCAAGGAAACAAAAGCGTTCATTTCGAATATCGTCACAATATAACTAAACAAGAACATGAATTTAATTAGGGACTTGGTCTTGATCAGACAAATGATGCCCATATATTTAATTAAACACGTGAAAGAAGACAAAATGTTTAGCCGACATAAAAATAATAATCATGGCCATAATACTATACTAGTGTCTATAAAACCCAACACTTGAGAGTTAAGAGAAAGTAGTGGGTAATAAAACTTTCATAAATTATACACTCCCATTGAAGTAGATAGATGATTAGGTATGTCGTTGGTGCAAAATTAGATCTCTCACTATTATTGACTTATTGCGTAAATTTTGTCAAATTTGATTCGGTTACATCAATTATTGAGTCCCAAATTAATGACATATTTCCCTAAAGGTGGAGGGTTGGTAATGTTTCCATTTCATATTTGATTTTGATACATGTTGTCACACAATAATATTTGTTTCCATTTGGTGATGCTTAGATTTTGATCATTGTTTGCTCCTATGGTCCTACCTGCGTATTAGATCATGCTTTATAATTACGGAAGCCCTTGACCTCAATTCAGTCATAATGTGGCAAGTCTCGTGGTCTAAGTTGTATGATAAACATTTATAATTCATTCGTATTTATATTTACCAATATTCGTGTGACTCGTTATAACTTGAATTAAAATAGGTACTCCGTATGTCATACTACAAAAAAGGGTGTTCAATAATAACACTTGGCATAAAGTGATGACTTGAGTTGGAGGTCACTTGAAGAAGTCTAGCATAATTAAGCTACTCAAAATGATGCAAGAATAAATTAGCTTTCACCAAGCTCAATCAATATTTACCCAAGAATGCTTTTTATGCTTTTATGTCTATTCCATACTTTGTAGTTAGTAAATGCTTGTTAATTTGGGCCTAATAAGCCGCCTAACTTAAGAGATAAAAGGAAATCTTTGATGAATCTTTAAGGTACTTTAATCAAGCATTGTAATTAGTGGGTCTGCACTTTATTATAATCTTTGATGAATTTTTCACCATTCGTTTTCTCCATAATGACAAATCATAATAGCAGCAAGTTACCATACAATTCTCAAGGAAGAATAGGTTGTCATACACACGCATTAGAATAATACTTTATTCAATCTTAAGGTAAGATCATTAGTCTCAATTATACAATGAATATTTGATTTTTTATATTATATCCTTTCATACATTATACAAGTAATATACTACTAATACAAATATTCTCAATTATAAAAGGTTGTGCACTTTGAGCTATACAACAACTAGGTACAAAAGTGTATACTACTTGAATTACAACTAATATCATAACAACCTTTGTTTTTTTGGTTGATGACAACTTGGAAGAAGGGCTTCCCCTCTTCTTTTGATTATCATCGCAGTAACTGGATTACAATCAATAGTTGATTTCAAATATAACAAGGACAACTGCTAAGCCGAACTGCTGCTGTTATGTAACTCGAAAAACTGTCTTTTCTGTCACTTATCACTTGCAAAGTTGCAATAAGATTGTACATTCTATTAACATGTTGCGTTGTGTAAATGTAAATGAGAATATTGTGAAATGGAATTGTAAATAAGAGAACACATAATTACAAAGCTACTAGCACTATCCAGATCCCTACTTGAGAACTGACTGTTAATGGTCTGATCTTCTCGGCTGATTGGATAACAGGCAAACATAATAATCCAGATGTACATTGTCACACCCAGTATCTATAACGTATATGCAAAAGTGCCATCGTTTTATAAAAAAAAAGAAAGATCCATTGCTACCACTGATTTGGGAATGATTCTCGGTACCTGGTGTCCTCGCCTTTAGTTAGCTGCTTGACAGTTTCATCTTTTGCCCGGGAACTCAAAAGCTTCTGTGCTAATCTATCTTTAGCTGTCACTTTCTTCCGCAACATTGATGCAAGAGTCGGCCCTTTAATTTTCTTGGTAGATCTCTCTCCCGTGTTTGCAGGTACAACTTCCCCAAAAGCTGCAGAACTCGAGGTGGAAGCAATTGCAGCCTCCCGAAGAACTGCATCATTGTATTCCCGAACCTTTGCAAGTTTAGCTTTCTTGATTGCTCGTTTATCACTTTCTTTTCTCTTTATTTCCTCTTCATCCTTCTCTCTAACATTTTTAACGGCCATTTTAGCTAGTTGCTCCGAAGAAATGCCCAATCCATCAATATTCAACTCTTCTGTGGAAGAATTCTGTCTCATTGATGTACCTTCATCACCTAGGGAGATGGCAGATTTCCCTGCATCATCCTCGGAGTAAATTGGTTTTCCCTTATCATCACGCGGTATAACTGGTCCATGAAATGGACATACTCTCAAATCTTTCCTCTGGCAAAGCTTTCCATTGCGCAAAGGAGCACGGCATGGCTGAACTTCAGCTTGCTCTTCTTTGTAAAGGCTTGCATGAACATTTAGTTCCGCAATTTTTTCTGATGGTATAGCAGCGTCACTATCTACTCTGCTCCAATGGCCATCAATCTCTAATCCCCTCTGGTTAGCCAACACATCCCTCTTCTCACCCCAATTATCCAAAGAGGATCCCCAGTTAACAACGGGAGCTTCAGCTAAAAGCTTACCCCGCAAAGGATTCGAATCAACAGCACTGACTCTACGTTTCACAACATCCTTCTTCTTTGCCCCACTTTTGCTGCATTCAGGTCTTTCAGAAGCATCAGTAGTCAATACTTTACGATCAACTGGTACCACATTTAAATCTTTACTTCCCTCCACAGATTCAATTATACACTCCTCCCAAATGTCATCATCTTCCTCACTCTCCCTGATCTTAGGAAGCGCACAACCAGATTCCTCACATTTCTTCTTCACCGCAGTAATTCGATTCCGAACATCAATGAACTCTTTCAATGCAGAATCCCTAAATCTAACATCATCAACTTCAACCCTGATAAGAACAGAAATCCATTCCTGAACCGAAACTAAATGCTTCTTCACTAACAATTTATACAGCTCCCTCAATGCATCAAAAACTACTTTATTATCACTATTCTCATGAACCTTCTCCGCTTCCTTCAATGCATCAAGCCGAAGTTGCATCAACTCAGGGTTACGCATCCCCTCAAACTCCTCCTCATCATCATCCAACGGCTCCAATGCCGCATTCTCATCATTGGCCCTAGCAATCTCTAAACACTCTCCAATCTCATCAATCGTCAACCTTATCTCTTCCTTCAACGACGGAAGCCTCTCCCTCAACGTCTTGAGCTTGTTCTTCAAAATCACCTGTGTTCTAACCTCCCTCTCCCTCCTTTCCCGCTCAATTCGAGCAGCATTCGCTTGTAAATTGGGAAATTGATACCTAAGTGTATTCTTCAAATAATCATATCCTAACCTAAGCTGCCTATAATGAATTCCAAATGACGAATTCCATTTTTCTAAAAATTCAATCGCCTTAGCTCGTAAAACCGATGCAACAGAAGATGGAGCTGGAAGAGGTTGATTTCTTCGAAATCCAACCGATAAACTTAACAATTGATCCAAATTCTCAGTAATTAGGGTTCTAAAAAGCTTCGAACGCATAAATAACTCATCAATTATCAATAATGCAAGATACCTAATCTGCAATTTCAGAAAATTTACAAACCCTAAGTTCAAAAATTTAACAATTATAATCAAAATTATTGCA